CTGATGTTCCCATCAGAAAAATAGGAATATCAAGTGATCTGATGTTCCCATCACTGAAATGGTACAAGAATTCCACCAACTACGAACCACTTAGTTTGATGAAAGGGGGCAGTAGAACAACAGAAGTGCACTTACATCGCATCAGGCTTGGATACCCATGTGCATGGGAAATAGGCTTACGGGTTCCGGAAGGTGAGAGGAAATGTTAACACTGTGGAGAAATGCCCGACAGACCACTGGAACATTATCTAACACAGTGCACAGTTACAAACCCGTTAAGATTTCACCTTCGATTCGACAGAGCAGAGGAAGTTGTTAAACACATATGGCACAATCTTACTGAAGCGACCATACGGGTCATACATACTCATCCTCCGCCCAGGTAAACCAGAAACAAGCATCACTTAGTGGGCCAGCCAGAGGCTTAGGGCCCGCGCAGGATTATCCCTGCTAAAAAGAAAAAAAAAAAAAAAAATCACTGAAATATAAGAAAAAGAGTTAAAAATGAAATGAATATATGAACAAATAAAAAAAATAAACTATACTATCGAAATGAACGGTACAGTAAACAACACAGCTCAATTCTAACGCAATTCACACTAAATAATGAATTCAAAATCTATGGAAAATTCAATTTATCAATGCAATCAGAACCATTGAAATGGAATTGTAACATATTTGGTATAGGATGTGTGTTGCTCTTACATGCAACAGATGGCGTTGATTTTCAAGAAAAAGCATAGTTTTACTTGTCACAGGTATGGCATCTAAACTTATACTCACGAAATGAACGGTATGGTTAACAACACAACTCAATTGCAACACAATGTCACACAAAATAATTCAATAAAAAATATAATAAATCGAAATCTATGAAAATAAAATTTATCAATGCAATCTGAAAATTGAAATGAAATTCGAGACATATTTAGTATATCGTGAATGTTGCTATTATGTGCAACAGATGGCGCTGTTTTTCAAAAACGCATGACTTTACCTGACACAGAGGTGGCAGCTATATAATACGTATATAAAACCACGCGCCTATTCGAATGCAAAGTTGTGTCAAAATTTCAAAGCAATCGGTGAAGAATTTTCGGAGATTACAGTGTGTGTTGCTCTTACGTCCAACAGATGGCACTGTTTAAAAAAACAAACATGTTTTTTCCTGTCACAGGTGAGGCTTGTATATAGTAGATATATAAAAAGACGTGCCTTTTCGAATGAAACGTTGTGTCAAAATTTCAAAGCAATTGGTAAAGAGGTTTCGAAGATTTTCCTCTTCTGAAAAACACATGAAAAACACATTTTTTTCTGAAGAGCATGTTTTTTTTACCGTCACAGACAGTAAAAAATATAGTATGCATATAGTATACATCTATATAGTATGCATATAAAAACCTGGCTGGATCCGAATGGAACGTTATGTGAAAATTTCAAAGCAAACGGTGAAGAACTTTCGGAGAATAGCGATTTTGAACAAACAAACATTTCCATTTTTATTTATATAGATAGTGTGTTTTTGTTATTACGTGCAACAAATGGTGCTATTTAAAAAAAAAAACATATTTTTACGTGTCTCAGGTGTGGCATCTATATAGTAAGTATATAAAAGCACGCACGTATTCCAATGCAACGTTGTGATAGAATTTTAAAGCAATCGGTGAAGAACTTTCGGAGATTAAAGCAGGTGTTGCTATTACATTCCACAGATGGTGCTGTTTAAAAAAAAAAATCCTGTCACAGGTTAGGCATGTATATAGTTGGTATATAAAAATATGCACCTATTCGAATGCAACGTTGTGTCAAAATTTCAAAGCACTCGGTAAAGAGGATTTGAAGATTTCCCTCACATGAAAAAAGTCATGAAAAACACAGTTTTTTTAAAGCACGATTTTTCCTGTCACAGACGTGACATCTAAACATTATGTATATAAAAACTTGCTCGAATGCGAATGGCAAGATGTGTGAAACTTTCAAACCAACCGGTGAAGAACTTTCAGAGATTAGCGATTTTGAGCAAACAAACATTTTAATTTATATTTATATAGATTGGGGGGTGCTAAACTTGTCCTCATACTGCTTTTTTTGGAATTGAACTAATGTCATTGATTAGGAGCCGGTCGGCCGAGCGGACAGCACGCTGGACTTGTGATCCTGTGGTCCTGGGTTCGATCCCAGGCGCCGGCGAGAAACAATGGGCAGTTTCTTTCACCCTATGCCCCCTGTTACCTAGCAGTAAAATAGGTACCTGGGTGTTAGTCAGCTGTCACGGGCTGCTTCCTGGGGGTGGAGGCCTGGTCGAGGACCGGGCCGCGGGGACACTAAAGCCCCAAAATCATCTCAAGATAACCTCAAGATTGTCATTCTCTATGTATGAACCTTCACTTGTAAGAATAGGTCCAATACAGACAGTGGTATTGTTTTGCTTTTGATATCGAATATTTGAAGAAATATTTTTGACAAGCTGTACCCGGACACATGTTGCTGTAGCTCAACAACACGAGGGCGTTGCTCAGTCACAGCAGCCCTCCCCCATTTCCTTGTCCTTCCCACCATTCGCCCGTCACCCTCTGCTCCCATCCATTCCTAACTCTTTTTGTGCCCTTCGTCCTCCCCACCATCCTCCACTCTATTGCCCCCTCGTCCTCCCCACCCTTCCCCTCTCCCTGTCCCCTCGTCCTCCCCTTCATTACCCCCTCCCCATCCCCTCGTCATCCCCACCATTCCCTGCTCCCCATCCCCCTCATCCTCCACTCCATCCCCTACTTACCAGCCCCTCGTCCTCCCCCCTTCCCCAGTCCTCCGCCACCATTCCCAACTTCCCCGTCCCCTCATCCTCCTCGCAATCCCCCATCCTCTCATCCTCCCCACTATTCCCCTCTCCCCTGTCCCCTTATCCTCCCCCACCATCCCCCCCTATCCTGTCCCCTCGTCACTATTATTATTCTCCCCACTATTCCCCCCTCCCCCATCCCCTTTTCCTCCCCATCATTTCTCACTCCCTTGTCCAATGTGTTCCCAAATTCTCTGATGTTCTCATCAGAAAAATGGGAACATCAAATGATCTGATGTGCCAATCACTGAAAAATAAGAAGAACAGTTAAAAAAACGAAATTAAAAATGAGAAAATACAAAAGTAAACTATACTCAAGTAATGAACGGAATGGTAAACAACACAGCTCAATTCCAATGTAATGTCACACAAAATAATTAAATCAAAATTAAAATAAATTGAAATCTACGAACATTCAATTTAACAGTTCAATCGGAAACATTGAAATGGAATCGTAACATGTTTAATACAGTGTGCGTTGCTTGTACGTCCAACAGATGGCACTGTTTAAAAAAAAATGTTTTTACCTGTAACATGTGTGGCAACTAAATAGTAGGTATATAAAAGCATGTACATATTCGAATGGAACGTAGTTTCAAAATTTCAAAGCAATCAGTGAAGAACCTTTTTAAATTACAGCATGTGTTGCTTTTACTTCAAACAGATGGCACTGTTTTTACAAAAAAAAACATGTTTTTACCTCTCACAGGCATGGCATGTATATAGTAGGTATACAAAAACATGCGCATATTCGAATGCAATGTTGCGTCAAAATTTCAAAGCAATTGATAAAGAACTTACGAATATGAGCGATTTTGAACAAAACGAGCATTAACTTTTTTATTTATATACATTGATCTTTATCTCTTTTATAGATTTATGTTCTAATTGCATTTTTTTAATCTGATATGATTGCTTCATTCTGATTTATTTCTTCAATCAATTATTCGTTCTTTGTATGGGGACTTGTGTCTGCTTAAGCATTTCCGTTATTTATATTGCTTGTTTTGTAGTGCTATCTGAGTTCTCTTTCAATGATGGTCCTCTTTCTGGCTTTCCGTACCCAAAAAGAGGTACATGTTTCAAACAAACTTTATATGCCTTGGAAGTCAGTTTCCTTGTGTGCGATTTTTAATATTTAGAAAAGTTTCCAATTGAGTGTTTTTAAGTTACCTGTTTATCTTTTCCCAGCCTTTCCTTTTTGTTATTGACATTGAATTATTTGAATAACCCCTCTCGCTGGATCATTGTTTGGTACCTATTACGAGTATTGATGATAGTTTGCACTTCAATGAGCTTGTGATGTGAGTATGTGGTATCTGAGATTGTAATGACCCCTGATTATGTCTTCATTGTTTGGGAAGATCAGATATAAAATATTTACATTCCTAGTGGGCTCTGTTACCTGCAGGTTGATTGAAAAATTTTCACAGAATCTAAGTAGCTTTCTATCCTGAGGTTGATTATGTCCAGATAGATTTCGTGGTATAATATTATTGTTTGCTATTCTCCTTCTTAGACTGGGCAGGAATTCCTCAGCCGTTGCATCTGACAGTTTTTATATTTGAATAATAACTAAGTTAATTTTCTTCATTTTTTTTTCTTTTCTTCAGACCAACAACCAGAGCACAAATTCATAATCTCCTGAGACTGATGAATGCCTACTACTACTACCACTACTCCATGTGAACTATTTACCTTATCACATCTATATAGATTATATGCTGGAATTCATATTTCACTGTCCAAGAATTTCCCCCCTGCATGATTCTGTGTAAGCTCCAAATAATCCATTTGACTCAGTGAGGAGGTCATTTATGAACGGTACTTAATTTTTTGCTCTTATTTTTAGTTCTTTTATGTTTATGCCTGTCGTAGTTTAGCTCTGCTGTGGGGAGTAATTGTATATGTGATTCTGGTATGCAAGTGGGTCTTTCATCCAGTTCCATACACTCTTCCTGTGCCACCTTTTGAAACCTCTTTCGTCTGGGTATATACAGTCGTCTGGCTATTATTATGTTAGGTTCCGGTATGCATGACTCAAAGAAGGTTGAATATTGTTTCTTTGACTGCAGTAGCATAATAATCAACCACTAGATTTGCTTCATTCAAACAGCCAAATTTGTCTTTCGTTTTAGTGCAGCACAAGAGGATCTTACCAGTGATGTGGGTACTGAAAGCTGTGTTTTCAGAGTCGTCACATCCCAGCTACTTCGTGATCTTCTTCATTGATAGCAGCATCTCCAGTGTCTACAAGGTAAGCAACTCAGCTGGAGTGAAATACCTTGTGAATGGCTAGATTATAGATAATGTGAACGAAGCTTATAGCTTTGATTATATAGCACTAAACCATAACAGTTTCTGAGAATAGTCCCTTCTGTCAGATAATAGAACATCTAAGGATCCCAAGCGGTGTTGGAGTCTTCCAGGCAGCAATGAACAACTCTGATTTTAACAGGAGAGGGAATCATTTCTCTCGGGTGATGGCTGATGTTAAGCGGGTAGGTCATTGACTTACTGTGATGCTAAAATATAAATGGTCATTCCCTTTCACTTGAAGATTGTAACTCCATTTTCAGTGTACTGCTGCTTTATACATTATATAGTTTACAAGACCAGTGAAACAAATAGGTAACCTATGCTCTTATATTAGGCTAAATAAATAGGTTCTAAAATTAACACTACAACATTCACAGTTGCGGCAACTGTCATCACACACGACAATTGTTGTGATAAGCGACGACCTCTCCTTCCTCGCCGCCTTCGTCAAGTGGTCCGTCAAGGGCCGCCTCCTGGTGTGGTCGACGAGGCTGCTGGTCCTAACACGTCTGCCCATCCAGCTGCTGCAGGTCCATTACACAGCCTTCTCGAAGATGAATGCCATGTTGCTGATTATCAACGACAACGACGACAACACGCCCAGCATTGGGTAATACATTATCAACTGACTTACCTTCAATATGTCTGTAATTGTAAACCTAAATACATATTTAGTTAATGAACATAACTCCGACAGGTGCAACATGTACGTTCACCTGCCATTCAGTCCCAGGGAAACCCAGCCATTGTGGGTGGCCTCCTGGACTCCGAGTCGGGGGCTGCTTCTCACTTCCCACCTCCCGCTCTTCCCTGAAAAGTTCGCCAAGTGAGTTATACCATGAAATTTAAATTAAAATATCTAACCAATATGCCTGTCCTTGTTAGTGTTGTGTATGCAACTTTTGTTTGATAAATATTATGGGTAGTCTTATTTAATCTGTAACTGTAACTTAATTTGTAAATCATGTATTATATATGATATTACAGTGCAGAAGATTAGAAGAAATAAATGTTGCATATGAATATGAGTGATAAATCACAATGTCAAAACTTTAAATACTGGATATTTGTTTTATCTTTTAAAAATTTAACATTTTCTCTACTATGGCAAGATTGAAGAAATTTACAAATAGTTGTAATATTTGTTCATGCTAATGGCATAATTTTGTATAATATCCATCATAAGTGTAGGCACTACCACTTCTCCATGAAATGATACCCAATAGGTACAAGTCATTATATACTATTTTACTTAGCTGCATGAAAGAGTTGTGTGTAATAATAATCACTCTGAAATTCACCTGAAATAGGACAAAACAATGAAGAGCAGTGTTATTAAAGATTAATAATTAACACCTACATGAATTTTAGCGAGTGAGATCAGTACACTGACGAAAAACGACTGTAGACAAAATTTTTGGGCCACATTTGGTATTCATCTTTTATTTCATTTTGCTAATATTAATATTTTCTGATCATAATAAAATGAAATTTAATATTAATCAAAATTAATTCATATCAATAATTTAATTAACAAGAAATTCTCTCTATCACACGTCAGATGAGAGGTGTTTTTTTATGTTTAATTGCATTTTTAATTTGTTGGTAAAGGAAAAAAAAACTCATTCAAACTCAGACAACATAAAAAGTTTTTTGACGTGTAACGTATTAAACGTTATTTTGATGTATTTTGTAGCAGAAAGGTACAATTGTAACTATTTATATAAAGCCGTGTAAAATATGTTAATTTCAGTCAGTCAAGGCATATACTTTATTAGCATATGTACAAATATCGTTTTAAACGTTTCTAATTCAAATTAAGTACAATTACATAATGTGTGTACTTACCTAGTTGTGCTTGAAGGTTTGAACTCTAGCTCTTTGGTCCCGCCTCTCATCTGTCAATCAACTGGTGTACAGGTTCCTGAGCCAACTGGGCTCAATCATATCCACACTTGAAACTGTGTATATAGTCAGCCTCCACCACATCACTTCCTAATGCATTCCATTTGTCAACCACTCTGACACTAAAAAAGTTCTGTCTAATATCTCTGTGGCTCATTTAGGCACTCATTTTCCACCTGTGTCCCCCTAAAGCGTGTGCCCCCTTGTGTTAAATAACCTGTCTTTATCTGCCCTATCGATTCCCTTGAGAATCTTGAATGTGGTGATCATGTCTCCCTAACTCTTCTGTCTTCTAACGAAGTGAGGTTTAATTCCCGTAGTCTCTCTTCAGAGCTCATACCTCTCAGCTCGGGTACTAGTCTGGTGGCAAACCTTTGAACCTTTTCCAGTTTAGTCTTATGGTTGACTAGATATGGAATCCATATTGGAGTCGCATACTCCAGGATTGGCCTTACATATGTGGTATACAGGGTTCTGAAGGATTTCTTACACAGGTTTCTGAAAGCAGTTCTGATGTTAGCCAGCCTCAAATACCCCGCTGATGTTATTCTTTTGATGTGGGCTTCGGGAGGCAGGTTTGGCGTGATATCAACTCCCAGATCTTTCTCTCTGTCGGTTTCGTGAAGGACTTCATCTCCCATTCGGTATCCAGTGACTGGCCTCCTAGTGCCTCCTCCTAGTTTCATTACCTTACATTTACTTGAGTTGAACTTTAGTAGCCATTTGTCGGACCAGTCCTTCAGTTTGTCTAGGTCATTTTGTAGCCTCATACTATCCTCCTTTGTCTTGATCCTCCTCATAATGTTTGCATCATCAGCAAACATCGAGAGGAACGAGTCAATTCCTTCTGGGAGATCATTTGCGTATATCAGAAACAGTATAGGCCCAAAGACTAATCCCTGTGGGACTCCACTGGTGACTTCCTTCAACTCCGAGACCTCACCCCTCATGGTGACTCGCTGTGTCCTGTTGCTTAGGTACTCTCTTATCCAGTGGAGTACCTCCACTTTCACTCCTGCCTGCATCTCCAGTTTGTGCACTAGTTTCTTATGTGGTACTGTGTCAAAAGCTTTCTGGCAGTCCAGAAATATGCAGTCTGCCCAGCCCACTCTCTTTTGCCGGATTTTTGTTGCCTGGTCATAAAACTCAATTAATCCTGTAAGGCATGATTTGCCATCTCTGAACCCATGCTGATGTTGTGTTGACAAAGTTCTTCAGCTCCTGATGTTCCACTATTTTCTTTCGCACAATCTTTTCCGTCTTCTTGCATGGAACGCAAGTTAGGGACACTGGCCTGCAGTTCAGCGCCTCCTGCCTATCACCATTCGTGTATATTGGGGCTACACTGGCCGTCTTCCAAATTTTTGGCAGATCACCTGTTACCAGTGACTTGTTGTACACCATGGAGAGTGGCAGGCACAGAGCTTCTGCTCCTTCCTTTAGAATTCATGGTGAGATGCCATCCAGGCCTATAGCCTTTGTCAACTCCAAATCTAGCAGATGCTTCCTCACCTCCCCACTGGTAATCATAAACTTCTTTAGTGGTGTCTGGTTTAATGTTCCCTCTTTTATCTCTGGGACTTCTCCTTGCTCTGAGGTGAAGACTTCGTGGAATTTCTTATTGAGTTCTTCGCACACTTCCTTGTCGTTTGTAGTGAATCTTTCTGCCCCCATCCTCAGTTTCATTACCTACTCCTTCACTGTTGTTTTCCTCCTGATGTGGCTATGCAGCAGTTTGGGTTGAGTCTTTGACTTGTTCGCTATGTCATTTTCATATTGCTTCTCTACCTCTCTTCTCACCTGGACGTATTCATTCCTGGCGCTCTTGTAACTTTCTCTGCTCTCTAGTGTTCTGTTGTTTCTATGGTTTCTCCACGCCCTTTTACTTAGTTGCTTTACTAGCTTACAACTGTGATTAAACCATGGGTTTCTCATCTCCATTTCGTTTTTTTTCCTTTTGGACTGGGACGAACTTGTCTGCTGCCTACTTTCACTTCTGTGTGATGTAGTCCATCATGTCTTGAACCGTCTTTCCTCTGAGCTCTGTTTCCCAAGCTATTTCAGTTAGGAATTTTCGCATCTCCTCATAGTTCCCTTTCCGGAATGCGGGCCTCTTGCTTTCTGGTCCTTTCCTTGAGTACATTAACCCTTCTTCGACCAGACACTCAAACAGCAGTACACAGTTATCACTCATACCCACGGGGGCTTCAAGATCGATTTCTCTTATGTCTGAATCGTTCAGAGTGAATACTAGGTCGAATCTAGCAGGTTCATCATTGCCTCTCATTCTCGTGGGACCCTTGACATGCTGACTTAAAAAATTTCTAGTCGTCACCTCCAGCAGTTTTGCTCTCCATGTTTCCTCACCTCCATGTGGTTCCCTGTTTTCCCAGTGTATCCTTCCATGATTAAAGTCCCCCATTATGAGCAGCTGGGATCGATTTCTACATGCAGCAGCAGCTGCTCTCTCAGTGATAATGTTAACTGCCATGTTATTTCTGTCATACTCTTGCCTGGGTCTTCTTTCACTTGGTGGTAGGTTATATATCACTGCTACTACTACTCTTGGTCCTCCCATCATCATGGTGCCAGTTATGATGTCTCTAAACCCTTCGCAGCCTGGAATAATCATCTCCTCGAAACTCCATTCCTTTTTCATCAGTAGAGCCACTCTGCCTCCTCTCCTTCCTTCCCCTCTCTTTCCTTATTACAGTGTAGTCCTGAGGAAACACCGCATTCATTATGATTCGTGTGAGTTTTGTTTCTGTGAGTTCAATTACACCTGAGTTTACTACTTGTGTTCTTTCCCTAAGTTCACTAGCCTTGTTTGTAATCCCATCTATGTTCGAGTACATGACCTTGAAGCTGACTCTCTTCTGTCCATTCTCAGGGACAGGGACAGGGTGTGTGTGTGTGTGTGTGTGTGTGTACTCACCTATTTGTACTCACCTATTTCTGCTTGCGGGGGTTAAGCTTTGTCTCTTTGGTCCCGCCTCTCAACTGTCAATCAACTGGTGTATAGATTCTTGAGCCTATTGGGCTCTATCATATCTACATTAGAAACTGTTTATGGAGTCAGCCTTCACCACATCATTTCCTAGTGCATTCCATTTACTAACTGCTCTGACACTGAAAACAAACTTTCAAATGTCTGTGGCTCATTTGGGTACTAAGTTTCCACCTGTGTCCCTTGTTCGTGTTCCACCCGTGATGAAGAGTTTGGCTTTGTTCACCCTGTCAAATCCCCTGAGAATTTTGTAGGTGGTTATCATGCCTCCCCTTTCTCTTCTGTTTTCCGGGATTTTCATCTATATTGATATCTTCTGTGTGTGTGTGTGTGTGTGTGTGTGTGTGTGTGTGTGTGTGTGTGTGTGTGTGTGTGTGTGTGTGTGTGTGTGTGTGTGTGTGTGTGTGTGTGTGTATGTGTACTCACCTAGTTGTGTTTGCGGGGTTGAGCTCTGGCTCTTTGGTCCCGCCTCTCAACCGTCAATCAACAGGTGTACAGATTCCTGAACCTATTGGGCTCTATCATATCTACACTTGAAACTGTGTATGGAGTCAGCCTCCACCACATCACTTCCTAATGCATTCCATTTGTCAACCACTCTGACACTAAAAAAGTTCTTTCTAATATCTCTGTGGCTTATTTGGGCACTAAGTTTCCACCTGTGTCCCATTGTGTTAAATAGCCTGTCTTTATCTACCCTATGAATTCCTTTCAGAATCTTGAATGCGGTGATCATGTCCCCCCTAACTCTTCTGTCTTAGAACGAAGTGAGGTTTAATTCCCGTAGTCTCTCCTCGTAGCTCATACCTCTCAGCTTGGGTACTAGTCTGGTAGCAAACCTTTGAACTTTTTCCAGTTTAGTCTTATCCTTGACTAGATATGGACTCCATGCTGGGGCTGCATACTCCAGGATT